ACGCGTTTCAGAAAGGCGGGGCATAGAGGAGAAACAATAATGTACAGTATGTGGAAAATAATGTGTTTTTTTAACCTTAAACCGCATAAACACATTTCATTACACCAAATACACAAAATAATGTTCTTTTTAGCAGCATCATATGAACCCCTTTAAATGTTTTTGAAAGAAGCCTCTTACGTTCACCAAGGCAGCATTAATTTGATCAAAAATACAGTAAAGACGTTAATGTTGGAAAATATTAGTACAATTTAAAATGGCTATTTTCTGTTTTAATATATTTTAAAATGTCATTTATCTCTGTGATGGCAAAGCTGAATTTTCAGCAGCCATTACTCAAGTTTTCAGTGTCACATGATCCTTCAGAAATCATTCTAATATGCTGATTTGCTGCTCAAGAAATATTTTTTATCATCAGTGTTGAAAACAGTTGTGCGGCTTAATATTTCTGGGAAAACTTTAATGCATTTTTTAATACAAAGAACAGCATTTAATCAAGATAAAATGTTTTGTAACAGTGTTAAAGTCTTTACTGTCACTTTTGATTCATTAAATGTAGCCATGTTTAATTTGTATATATATATATATATATATATATATATATATAAACTTTTGAATGGAAGAATTTGTAATATGAAAATTATAACATTTTTATTTTATATTTTATAACATTTTACAGACAAAATAAAATGTTTTGTGTCAGTGTGAAAGTCTTTTCTGTCTCTTTTGATTCATTAAATGTAGCCATGTTTAATTTGTATATATATATATATATATATATATATATAAACTTTTGAATGGAAGAATTTGTAATATGAAAATTATAACATTTTTATTTTATATTTTATAACATTTTACAGATGACTCAAACCTGAGATTGAGTTATTTTCCTCTTCCTCTTTAGAGAGAGCCCATGTGTACACGGATAAGAAAGAGGCTTTGCAGGCTGTTAAAATGATGAAGGGGGCTCGGTTTAAAGCTTTCTCCAATCGTGAGGATGCTGAAAAATTTGCCAAAGGCATATGTGACTACTATCCTTTGCCTAG